CGGGAGATATTTCGGCTGTGGTTTAACCTTGTCGAAAGACGTAAGTTTCAAATCGGGAATGCAGGAAATCGAGACGCGGAGTGTCCGGGAAGTCTCTAGTTCGCCCATCGGCGAACTAAGCCGGTCCGGCTTAGTTCGCCGATGGGCGAACTAGTCGGGCATGTCCTAGTTCGCCCATCGGCGAACTAGTTGCGACTAGTTCGCGTTTTACGGCTTTTTCGGTTTTTTGCGGTTTTGTAAAACGATTTTCGAGTTTTATAAAACGATCTTTCGGATTTCATAAAACGATCTTCGACTTTTATAAAACGATCTTTGAGTTTTATAAAACGATCTTCGAGTTTTATAAAACGATTTCTCGAGTTTTATAAAACGATCTTCGAGTTTTATAAAACGATCTTCGAGTTTTATAAAATGATTTCTCGAGTTTTATAAAACGATTTCTCGAGTTTTATAAAACGATTTCTCGAGTTTTTATAAAACGATTTCTCGAGTTTTATAAAACGATCTTCGATTTTTATAAAACGATCTTCTAGTTTTATAAAACGATTTCTCGAATTTTATAAAACGATTTCTCGAGTTTTATAAAACGATTTCTCGAGTTTTATAAAACGATTTCTCGAGTTTTATAAAACGATTTTTGAGTTTTATAAAACGATTTCTCGAGTTTTATAAAACTGTTCTTTTGTATTTTCGCGGGAAGACGAACGATGATAACCTAATTTCAGTTTCTGGGTTGTGTATCTAAAGGGAAGACGAACGATGATAACCTAATTTCAGTTTCTGGGTTGTGTATCGAAAGAAAAGAAGATGATAACCTAATAAAATTAGCGTTGCTGCTTTCATCAAGAATGAATGTGAGCTGCTACGTGAAACCGTTAGCTCCCAACAGGAAACGATTCAAGAGTTGTATGCTGAGCTTTAGGAAGAGAGCAATGCTGCTTTCACAACTGTGAAAGAGGCAATGTCTATGATACTGAAGTTTCAGAGGGACAAGGCTGAGATTGAAACGGAAATGAGACAGTTGAAGGGCTTTGCTGAGGAGAAGATGGAGCATGATCAACATGAGCTTTTGGATCTGGAAGATTTGGTTTGTAAGAGGGAGCAGACTTTTCATCTCTCACTTGTGAAGCTCAGGCTTACAAGCATATAATGATGAGTTACGGGTCGCTGAGTCTAATTCGGATGGGGAGAAGAACATGCTTAGTCGTAAAATGTGCATGATGGACAATGATTTTGAGTATGACCTCCCTGCATATGATTAGCTAGCCTCCTCTTAATTGCAGTTTGAATGAGAACCCAGATCCCCTGGAGGCTGGTGGTATTGATTTTGAGGATGTTGAAAAGTACGCAATGCATGGCTAGTAAGATTTTTAAGACAATGATACAAAGGATAAGTCAGATGGAGAGGATTCCCTTTAATCCGGCTCATGGTGATGTATCCGGAGGGAGGAATTTGGAGAAGGTGGTGGTTGGTCAGAGTGCTAGGTGTCCACTGGTAGTTCAAGTTCACTTTTGGAAACAAATAGGGACCAAAGACCTGACTTTTCCGTTGATTCTCCAAGGTCCAACAGCGGTAGCTTCAGGAAACTGAAGATGCCTCATATGCAGAGTGTGAGGGTGGCTTATAATAAACATGAGATAATGATATGGATGATAGAGTCTATACCATTGATTCTATACATCACAGCATATCTCAGAGTGATGCTTCCGAGTAGAAGTTTAAGGATGACACAGCTGATGGCTATGAAATCAGCCTGATCTTGGTGTTCATGATATATTGAAACTCTACATGAGGCTTCAAATATTAGAGGCTGAAAGGGAATTAATAAGGCAGGCAATTGTGTCTACGAGAACTGAGAAAGCTCAAATGGTTCTTTTGTTGTCATTAATTTCTAACACAAATTTTTTAAACTATATTTCGAAGCAGGAGTCAAAAACTATCTTTAGAACTAACTAAATTTTTATAAATCTTGATCTCATGACACTTAAGCAAACATAAGAGTCTTCTCGCATATTTTAATTTAATAACATAAGAATAAAGGTATATGTTTACAACTACATGTTTGGTTGCTAATGACATTTATAGCATATGTTGAGTTGGTTTTGCGTCACTTTAAAACTCATTTTAGTTATAAGTCACATCATATAATATGGAATTGTAAATAAATATACTTTTAATATATTTAAAATGTTATTATAAATTCAAGAACAAGAAACATATAAAAGAAAAGTAAATACCCATCGAACAACTACAATTTTATCATATGATAGATAAGCTATATACAGGATATCAGTTTTGATTGAATATTAAACGATTACATGAATATTAAACAATCTTAACATATACTGTGGGAAATATGTTAAGTTCATAGAAATTAGAAGATACATATCTAATCTCTATATAAGGAGATGCCAATGTGCGAGAATTATTCTTAATACCTAATGTTATACGAGACTACGAGTCTTTAAGTTCTATAGCACATGGCTCAAGTACGTAGAGTAACTGGCTTGGCTAGAGATCATTTTCTTGAAACAAACGTTTTTTTTATAACTTATGTTTGTGTAAATAAATATGATTGATTCATTGTAGTCTTTCCATGAAATTATTCTATGTAGTATAAATTACCTTTTTAAAAAATTAGAAACCTTCTAAGACTTTTATTTTGTTAAACGGTTTCAACCTTCTAACAAAATTATTAAAAACATGTTTAACTGCATATTAGTAACATTTATATATTCGAGAACAAATCTGTTTCTTAACGAACAACTAATTTATTTTTACTTTCATACAATCATTTGTTTTTTATACTTAATGTACCATCAGTGATTTTCCTACATATGGAATGTTATCTGGATGTACAACACATGGAAGATGCGCTTCAGTTAAAAAAAATAGACGAAAGACATGTTGGATTGATTGTCATAGGCGGTTTCTACCTAGTTCACATCCTTATGGTTGGAGCAAGACATTATTTACGAGGGGAAAAGTTGTTCATGATGCACCTCCACCAGAGTTTGATGGTCACTATTTACTGAGGCAACTTTGAGATTTTGGGGCAGATACAACTGCAGAATGTGGTGGAAATGGGCATGTCCCAGTCGATGGTTGTGGCGAGTATCATAACTGGCACAAAAAGAGTATTTTTATGGAGTTGCCATATTGGAAAACTCACTTGCTAAGACACAACTTATATATCATGCATATTGAGAAGAATTTTTTCGATAACATCATGAACACAATTTTAAATGTCCAAGGGAAAACAACGGACAACTTAAAGTCGAGATTAGACTTGCCTAGTATATGTGCACGAGATGAGCTACATATTAAGGTCAATGGAAAAGGTCCTACTCCTAGGTTCAGATTGAATGCATCTGCAAAGGAAGAGTTTTTTAAGTGGATATTGTCTACCGTTAAATTTCCTGATGGATATGCTTCAAATCCGAGAAATTGTGTTGATAGTCAAGAGGAACGGTTATCTGGGATGAAAAGTCCTGATTATCATGTTTTCATGCAACGCCTACTTCCATTCCTATTTGCAAGGCTTCTACCAAAAGAAGTTCATGAAGCTATTGCTGGTAAATTTTTTTTTCATATATCATAATTTTTTACACATAATAATTACTAAATATTTCTCTATTTTGTTTGTGATTGCAGGGATAAGTGCTTTTTCGGGACCTTTGCACAAGATCACTAACCCCTGATGGAATTCGACAATTGGAATCCGACATACCAATTATTCTTTGCAATCTTGAGAAGATTTTACCACCATCTTTTTTGATATTATGGAACATCTAGCAATTCACCTTCCTAAGGAAGCAGAACTTGGTGGTCATGTTCAATATAGATGGATGTATCCATTCGAGCAGTTTATGTTTCACTTGGAAAAAAAAAGTGAAAAATTTAAGCAGAGTTGAAGGTCCTATTATCGCTCAGACCATTAAAGAAGAAGCATAATACTTTTCTGCTTACTACTTTGCCTCACATATTCAAAAAGGAGAAAACCCGGTCGTAATGATGATGGAAGAGAAAATCCCCAATACTTATATGATGTTCCAGATATCTTTGCACAAGTAGGGCGACTAAGTGGAAAACGTAAAAAACGTTGGTTAGAGGATGAGGAGATTAGTCACTTACATATGTATATTCTTCTCAACTATGATGAATTACTGCAATATGAAAGGTATAACTATTTTTTTTTTATACTAGTGAATTTTTTAACATCCATAAGAAAATTATGTTAAACGTTTAATTTTGTAGGATTTATGATGACCAGCTTAGGGAGGCCTACCCGAATCATTCAGAGAATCAAATTTTAGCTATAAAGCATAAGGAATATGCAAACTGGTTAAAATTTTATGTAAGATCATTATTAACTTCTTTGTATCATACCTTTTGGATCAGACAGATATTAAATACTAAGTTTTGGTACAGGTGCGCATAAGCTTGGCTAGAGGTGAAGAAGTAGATAAGTGGTTTCAAGAAATAGTTGATGGTCCCTTGTCACTTGCAATGTCTTCACCTGCATACTTTACGCGTGGTTATGCTTTTAAGGTTTCCCGTGAAAGAACTCCAACGGTGAACTCGGGAATATCTGTGCAAGCTGGATACATCTCTTACTATGGTGTTCTTAAGGAAATTTTGGAAGTTCAATATTCTGGTACCATAAATATGAAATGCATATTGTTCTTATGCGATTGGTACAACCCACAGTCATGGATTGGTGTAAGGCATACCAAATTTGGTGTGACTGAAGTTAATTCATCAAAGAGGCTCAACAAATATGATCCATTCATCCTTGGATCACAGGCAGATCAAGTGAGCTACATTCAATATCCTCGCATCAAGCACAAAAGAGATCCATGGATAACAGTCACACATATTATTCCAAGAGGCAGAGTGTGTGTAATATCAGAGAAAGGCAAAATTTCTTTTGTGTGACTGTTATCCATGGAATATTTAAACATGATAAAGGCAAAATTCTAAAGCTATATTGAAGAAGATGAAATCTGACCTACCAAGAGCTTATCCAACTTATAATTGTCTTCCTCCTGATGTAAAAACGCGATGGTTCAGAGCATTTGCGGTAATACTGTTGCACTCTAAATTAGTTTTTTTTTTTCTTTTTCATTTATTTTAATTTCTCACTACTTTCCAGAAAAAAATTGATTGGGAACCAAGTATTACTGAGACAGTAAAGGTTCTTTATGAGAAAAAGGCTCAGAAAACTTTCTCAAGCAACTTGTGTGCTTGGAAAGATAAATGGAAATTGAATAAAGATCCTCCTGATTGGGTATCAGAAATAGCTTGGGAGGGTTGCGTTTTGTTGTGGCAGGATGACAAGGTTGAAGCAAAATCTTCAAGAAATTCTACCAACAGGAGAAGTGAACGTGGTTGTTACGGCATCGCAATACACAACACAGGGGCAACATCTTTCAAAACGCGCAAAGAAGAAATGGTAAAACTATAATTACTATGTTAAACTTAATTTTGGCTAACTATAATTGTTAGTTAATTTTTACTTTTCATTTTGATAAGATCACTGAAAATGGAGGGGAAGAGCCTGGTATGCTAGCATTCCTTGAAGATGCCCACCGAAATCGCAAGTCTGGTGACATTTGTGACAAGAAGGTGAAGCGTATTGTGGAGACGGTCAAAGAGAAAATAACTGATCAGCTAACTCAAGGTGGATCAACTGATAAAACCATCTTACCAAAGCAGAGATCTAACACTCTCATTTTAAAGGTAAGTCAATTACTGTTTCTTTAGTTATCATTTTTTTTATTTTCTTTCTTTATATTGTATTTCTTTTTATAGGAAATTCCTGTAATTAAAGGTCACCGTTTTGGGTTTGGAACACTACCAGACCCAGGATAACCATCTTCCTCAGCTAGATTCATGTCTAATTTAGACCAAGAAGAACAATTACGGATTGCAAACGAGAAGATTACTGTGGCAAATGAGAAGATTGTGACTTTGGAAAATGACAAAGATGACCAAGGTAAAGTTATAAAGTATTTGCAGAATTTGGCTCATAAGGTGGTTAGCAAATTTCCAGAATTACTAGATGAAGATGAAGACGCCACTCAAGAGTAGTTATGTATTAGTTATTATGCTTCTATTTTGTGGTTAAAACTTTACTAATGACTAATTTGTAACTTGTTTGTTAACTACAAGAAATAGCTTTACGGATTAGGAGATACATATCTAATCTCTATGGGAAGAGAACTCATGAAAATGCCGATATAGACAATATCTAATATAATACATTAACAAATGTCTACAACTATAACAAAATCTTAATATATGTAATACTAGGATCGGCCCGCCCTACGGGCGGGAAGTTATAATAAATTTTTTTATAGGAATTCGGGCAGGAAGTTATAATAAGTTTTTTTATATGAATTCATATAATTTTATGAAACATTTAAAGTTGTTATAGATTGAAAACAATAATATAAACAAAATAATGAAAAAAATTTTAAGATCATATTTTTATTTTTGAATAAATAGTTTTGATTTCAATTTAAAATGACAGTAACTTTCACTATCTCTATTTTTTAGAGAATGAAAAATTAGCAAAAAAAATAAAAATAATATATATATTCTTATAATTCTATTCTAATTTGACCTGATAAAATTCTAAAGTTTATATAAACAATACTATATTTATTTCAACCAAATATTATTCTAATACAATATATATACATAAAGTTTATATATACATATTTTTTTACTATTTCAGTTGGTTATCTTTATCATTTATTTTGTGTTTTTATTATTTTATATATATGTTATTCAATTTAGTTATATTTTACTTTCTTGTGCTTATTATATATTTTTGTATAATCATAGTAAGTATATCTAGTATATATATTCATTGCTTAAGTAAAATTAAATGATATCCATTATTTAAAAAAAATATTTTCATACAAATAATTAAAACAATTTTTGTATGTTAATGAAACGCTGTTGTTTCCTGCTTAGACATGCAACGCCAATAGATGACTTTCCTACGTGGAATCCGACGTGACTCTCTAAGGAGAGAGCAAAACATTTGTTTATTTAATAACATTATAAAATTAACATTCTTTATTGTGACAAAAACATTCTTTAATTATATTATTTTGAAAAAAACAAATTAGTTACACTATTGTTACTTATTGTCATTATTTCTATAATTATGTAATTTCTGAAAATAACAATCTCAAAGAATCCTTTTGGATTAAAATAATCGGTACCAAAATTGATACTAAGATAATTATTAATTTCAACTGCAAATTTTAACATTTTCATGGTTTCTCCTTTGATCTTATTTTGTTTGACCTTGTAAGTTTAGATATTTACAAATGTGTTAAATCATCCATCCACCAAAAACAAAATATTAGAGTAGATAAGTGCAAAACATCCTTCTTCGCGGATTATTCTGCAACGTAAGACTTTTGAGGATAAGTGGTTATTTTCATTTTGTTGTAATGTTTATTTCATAATTTGAATCTTATTTTGGGTGAAGAAAAATGATATATAAATCGCAAATTACAATCCATGTGAGACCTTTAAAGTTGTATAAGAGAGATAGAGATTTCAATTTGTTTGTTTATTAGTAATATTTTAAAAGATTTGTGATGTATATAATTTCAAACTCTTTGTAAAGAGAAGAAAATACTTAGTTTATTGTATTTTTTCTATCTCCAATCTCTGGTTTACTTCGATTGAGCTTAGTTGAATCATTTTTTTCTGCTTCCTAGACTCCTAATATATACCAATGTAACGTTTTTTAAATCATAAGAAAGCGTTAGTTGTTTTTTGAGACATGGGTTTATGTCTAAATGGCAAATCAATTAAATTCAGATAGAGCCTTGAAAGGAATTCTTGCTTCTTTGTTACAATTCATAATATTCCTTCTTTATCTCATTGGATTGTTGTTCATCGGTGACATCAAAAGTACAATAGTCACTTTTCTCTTGCAGATTGTTTTTGTATGTTTAATTAGACCAGTTAGTTATATATGTTGAGCAATTTTTAGATATTCTTAATCAATATAGTGAGCCATTTACCTTGTAGTTTTAGGGACTGGATTGTTTCTATGATTCTGTATTTGACTATTTCAGATCAAAATCATATGAAATATTTTATTAGTGTTTTTAAATTTTGGATTATTTTTCTTTATATTTTTTATGTTTGAATCTGCTTTAAGGCTGATGTGTATTTGCGTTACCCATTGAATAGGCCACAAAGAAGATCATCTTGAGACTTCAGTGCCAAAACTGCAAGCACTTTTCTCAACACTTGATTAAGGTAAAAGGAACCATCTCCATGCATCAATTTTTTATTTATTATCAATTCATATGTATTCATGGATACTGCATGTTATTCTTGTCGCAGTAGTCACGTGAAGCTCCGTTTTTTTTCTTCTTTGTTGCGAAAATCTGTAGATGATAGAGATACAAAAGAAGTCTCAAACATGTTGCTTTGAAACAATTTGGAACCAGAGGTTTTCAGTAATACATAAATCTAAACCCATTGAACATGTATATTAAAAACATCCCTTTGAGCCAGGTAAGTAGGTGACATTAGTAAAAAGCTTGAGCCTTGGGAACTGAATCAAGAATGAGACACAACAGATCACTGAATCAACAATGAGACAACATTCGTAGGAATCAAACGTTTGTCAAATTGCAAGACATCAGAGACGCATAACCCTGAGGTGCCACTTCTATCTCCATACTGAAACGTGTAAGCGCAAAGGTTGTTCTGAACAGAACAGTCTGAATTGGAGGACTGAACACCCCAGCTGCATCTTTGGTCAGAACATGAGACTGGTGTCGTTGTTACTGAGCTCCCTGGATCAAAATAAGTCAATTGAATCTGCAAACAGAGCATCCCATTAATCTCAAATCAGAGAATTTAAAAATAAAAAACACATGATAGTGATAAAACATCACCTCCTGTATTTGAGGGCATCAGTTAAAAGAAGCACAACTAACCCCCAAAACATCACCTCATGTGTCAGTCTCTTTGGGGGAGATCACAGCCACAATTCTATGTAGTATGATCTGTTTAAAACCCAGACACCAAACGGAGCAGAAGACAATGAAATCAGAAAAACAAATTTTTGATTAAGACATGAAAAAAAGCAGACAATAACTCAGACACCGTATACGCAATCAAAATCATGTATTGAGAAGATAAAGATGGAAGCTTTAATACCCCAACAACAAAAGGATCGAAAGTTCCCTCGAAGGAAAATCAAATAATCCGCTGTGACTATAACAAGTGGTCGTATCTAGCTCACGCAACTTGAGTTGAATGATTTCCATCTCATGCTAAAGGGAATAAGCTTTTTCCAGTTTCAGCGCTGCCGGAACTCTCATCCTCATCTCAACTTGATCTCCTCATAGAAAATCTTCGCCATAGCTTCCCGACTAAGCTCACTTCATACTGAACGGCGGCAGCTAAGATCTGCCACTTCCATGTGGTTTATATTGAGCCAATAGTAGATAAGACAAAAGTGATTAGAGGAAATCATTAGTGTTTACCAACAAATCTTGTGGAGAAGGAAGAGAAAGATAAACAAAATCCACAGTTTGATAAACACAACAGCCGTGGAAGAACAACATATTGTTTTCAAATCAGAGAGGAAGACAGATGATGCAGCCATTATAGTGAAAATAAGATTTCTCTCAATATAATGTTCAAGGGTGCCTTTTTGTAGGTGAGAATGACCGACGTTGGATAAGATTATTGATCGTGGTCTTCGTGGTGAGAAGGAGTTAAGTTTGGGTTAATGATGCCAATCTATGCGACTTGTAACAGTTCAGAGATAAAGGATAGAATACAACTTTTGAGATTACTGAAAAAGCGTCTATGAAACGCAATCTCAGAACTACCATTGTTAACATATAGAATCAAAGAGTTCTAAAGCGGATGAACCCTAAATTTGTGAGTCGGGAAGAAGATGCAGGTGCCACGGGCCAGCCCATAAACATGATACAAAACAATAGCTAAGCCCATATCAATTGTGTACTCAAATTAGATGAAACGGTACGTTTTAGTTAGGTGGACAGGTGTCGCGTTCTGCTGCTACTATTTGATGACGTGGATCCATCAGTAGAGAGGAAACATTTCTTTATATATATAGATAAGGTGTAGTATCTACTCTATTAAAATAGAGTCATTCTTTTTATCTACTGATACAAGTTGTCATTTAAATTTGAACCCTTTCTAGAATGTTATAAATAATATAAGTCATATAATTGATTGAACCGTATTACTTAAATTAAACCAACACAATTAATGTAAAGAGACGATCTTAATGTAAATTACCATCAAAATACGGCAGGTATCTATGTGTATACCAAAAACACATATTTTCTCCTACAAATATGTAATGTTCTAAAAAAATATATATCATCAAAATATGGAATATGGAAATCTACTAATTATACTTAAATTAAACCAGTGGTTATTTATGGAATATAGTCTTGGGCTTACTTTTATTTTTTGAACAAATTATATAGTTTGTTTTTTTGGCTTAGTATTAACAAAACAACTCCAAAAACATTGAATAAACTTTTCACCTTAAAAGATCAAAAAATCATTTATTATTTTCAGACCCAAAAGGTATTTAATATTTTTAACAAAACAAAATTATCTATTATTAATCATTTATTTAAATCATGTACTTTAAAACATGTTAATATATTTTTTTATTTTAAATAACAATCACTTTGTTTTGATAAATTTCAATGGTAACTTTTAAATAATTTTTATTCTTTTATTTTTCTTAAATAATTTACTGATTAAAAAAATGTAAACCAAAACCAAAAACCAAATCTAAAAACTAAAATCCAAAACAAAAAGCTGAAAACACATTTTATATTTTTTTGCTTTGTTTATTTACAAAATAAACTATTTCAAATTTAAAAAAAAAAATTGTTATCATCTTTTCAGTTTTAAATTAGATGTTCGATTATTTGAGATTTGTTTGTTGGTAATATTAGTTCAAACTAACTCAGCGGGTTTAAAAATTAAAAACCCAAACCAAAAACTGAAAATGAAAAGTAGAAACTTAAAAAACTAAAAATTAAAAACCAATATCTAAAAATAAAAACTGAAACTAAAAACTAATGAAAAACAATCATCACCACAAATTTTGGTGAACTGATTTTATATTAAACCGATGGTTATTTATGAGATATAGTCTTGGGCTTACTTTTGTTTTTAGAACAAATTATATGGTTTGTTTTTAGAACAAATTATATGGTTTATTTTTTTGGCCTTAGTATTAAGTAAAAACTCAAAAAACATTGAATAAACTTTTCATCTTAATGGATAAAAAGTAAGTTATTATTTTCAAGCCCAAAAGATATTTAATATTTATAAACAAAAGAAAATTATCTATTATTAATCATTTATTTAAATCATGTACTTTGAAAAATATTAATGTAATTTTTATTTTAAATAACAATCATTTTGTTTTGATACATTTCAATGGTAATTTTAAAAAAAATTATTGTTTTATTTCTCTTAAATAATTTACGGATTTAAAAAAAATGTAAAGCAAAACCAAAAACCAAATCTAAAAACTAAAATCCAAAACCAAAAACTGAAAAAACATGTTCTATTTTTTGCTTTTATTTATTTACAAAATAAACTATTGCAAATTTCTTTTAAAAATTTTTTGTCATCTTTTCAGTTTTAAATTAGATGTTCGATTATTTGAGATTTGTTTGTTAGTAATATCAGTTCAAACTAACTCAGCGGTCTAAAAATTAAAAACCTAAACCAAAAGCTGAAAATCAAAAATAGAAACTTAAAAAATAAAAACCAAAGTCTAAAACAAAATCTAAAAATAAAAACTGAAACTAAAAACTAATAAATAACAATCATCACCACAAATTTTGGTAAACTGATTTTATCCAAAACATTCTTTAAATTAAGATAAAACCAAATTACATAAATTTTTAATCATAACAAATTTCTGCACTTTTCAAGCGCGGGTCAAAATCTAGTGAGTTTATAAAATATAGTCTTTGAAATATAAGGTGTAGTACAAATATATGAAAATCTTAATATATGAAATTAGGATGCTTATCTATCATATGATAAATTTTGATTTATTCATGTAACTGTTTAAAATTACAACATGATCCAGCAAGAGAGAGAGAGAGAGAGAGAGAGAGAGAGAGAGAGAGAGAGAGAGAGAGAGAGAGAGAGAGAGAGAGAGAGAGAGAGTACAATGCTATAGTTACCTTAGGACAATGTATGTTCCATGACAGCCCTAAAGCTAACTGAATAAACCAACGCTTCAGTTCATGATTTGAGATGTATCTTTGCTAACCAAACTCCTCTGCTTCTTCTGCACATGTTTCATCCTAAGTATAAATGAACAAAACACTTTAAAAGAATTTTAACCTTGCTTTGACATCATCATGATTGTCCCACGCTTTTTCACACATTTCATATAATAAAAATTCTGAAAACAAACTCAAATGCAATAAAAAAGTCAGTTAAAATTTTGGAAATTAGGGGTTATGGGAGATTCAATCATCGATTCTCAGACGAAGTATGGTGATGATATTGATCCATAAACTGCTCACTCAGCGAGTAACAAAGCTCAAGAGCCAGTAAATTATTACAAAACTCAGGAATTTCCATGTAATTAAACCCCAAAACTTAGATATACACAGTCTTTAAGCTCATCGAGGTCATCGTCTATTAAACTCTTAATCCTCTTCAAATCATTGATCGTGGAAGCATCTATGTAGCCTGCCAGCAACACATTGCGTCTCTTTGATCTACTCACCACCAAATCTATTTTTCTTCCTCATATACACTGTATGACGAGCATGAGCTAGAGTTTGGAATCTCAGAGTTGGAACCAACGTGTTCCTTGTATGAGGAACAGCAAAAGAAAAAGTATATAAGTCACACATTGTGAAGAGCTGAAGAAGTTGATGATTAATAGACATATAGTAGACATGGAGCTGGAGAAAGTGAAACCATGGGAAGAAGAACAAACAACAAAGGGTGGAAGAAGAAGAAGAATCTCACAGCATATCATAAAGGAAACGTAGATAAAATCCAGAAAAAAAAAAAGAGAAAACGGTAAAGAAAGTGAAGAATTGTTGGAGGCAAAACCGAGGAAGAAGAGAAGGAAGAAGAAGAAGAAGTGGTGAATTTTTTTTTATGGGAAAGGGATAATGTGTAACACCCCTATCCCCAAACATTATTTGGATTTAGAAGGGAAAATCTGTTAGGTTTAGGGACCATTAGGGTCAAATCTGTAATTTTCGTTTGTTTTCTTACAAATAGAAGATTTCTCTCTCTCTCTCTCTCTCTCTCTCTCTCTCTCTCTCTCTCTCTCTCTCTCTCTCTCTCTCTCTCTCTCTCTCTCTCTCTCTCTCTCTCTCTCTCTCTCTCTCTCTCTCTCTATCTCTCTCATATACATTTATTCTTTTAAATCTCATACTAGTGTAAATATCTTTATGTGGTAATTTAGTTTCGAAGCATATTTCGTCTGCTTAAATTGAATCTTGTGTGATAGTTTGAATATTTTATGTAAACATAAATTAGGGGTCTAGAGAAGTCAAATGTTGAAAAGATTATATATGTTATAACCAGTGCCGGCTCTTGGGGAGTGCCCAAAGTGCACATGTACAGGGCCCTTCAATTTTCTGAAAATTTTCTTTTTAAGAATTAGGGCCCTAATTTATTAAATAGCACATAGTTTAGGGTCTTAAATTTATAAATTTAAAGAAATAACTATATTTTTTGAGAAAAAATATATATGTGCACTGGGCCCATAATTAAGCCGGGCCCGGTTATAACTGATGAGTGTGGGCTTCAAAGATGTCTGAACTGACGTAGCTATGGTGTGTGGGGGCCAGAGACGTGTGAGCTAACAATGCAAATGTTTAGTGTGGGGTGCAAATATGTTTGTATATCAACGCAGAGTGGAATGCGGGGGTATACAGACATATTTTACTAGCGATATATTGTATGTATATCTATATGTGGAGAATACAATGTATATGGATTAGTTATGTATTATCAACACATTGGTTTGTTCCGTGTGATGCACTAGACATTTTGTTTGTTCATGTTAGAACTAAATTTTGTTTGTTCATGTTAGAACTAAATTTCTATAGTGAGAGTTATTTATCTATCTAGTGGTTTGCATGTTTAGCATTTTATACCATAGTGAGAGTTATTACTCACGCCTTTATTTTTCTTTTAGGTGAGACTGATGAACATGATAAGTAATTCATATAGGATTGGTATTTTGGAGTGTTTTCTTTGGTTTTATTTTCAGACTGCCACTTTATAGTTTTATTGACATTTCATTTTGGATATTATTTTATTGAAATTATTGTGTTTAGAGACGATTTTTATGTATTAATAAATGAAGATTTCCGAAATTGTGGTTATTGAGTTTATGTAAGAAACACGGGTGTTACAATTCATTTGATGCATTTCATTTTCTTTTCATAGCTTAGATATTTGTCTATACCACTATCACACTATGGTGTGTATAAACCATCATGAAACTCAGATTTCTTCAAGAGTTCTCACAAAGTCAACACTAGTACTAATAACTCACTAACTTAATCAAGCAAATATATTTGGATAGCTAGTTTTTGTCATCAGTCTCCTAAAAATTATGAGATGTACAAAAGAGAGAGGGATGAATAGTTCAGGCTCTTTTTTTTTTGAATAGTTCAGACTTATCGAGTGGTTTGAAATCAAGACCGATAACCTTGGTAGAATTAAGCATCGCTAATCAATATTCAACTTGGCAATATCCGAAATGATAGAAGACTCATGATAATATATATATATTGAGAGAGATGGAAACAGGAAAAGAAGATCAAAAGGAATCAATCAATCTAACGAGGAAGCTACAGACATAGGTACGTTTAAAACGATAAAGAATAAAACGATAAAGAGTCAAACAACCTACAGAGAGAAGGGTACCGCCACCTTCTTCTAGCTCATCATCATCATCATCATCATCATCATCGTCTTCTTCTTCAATCTCCACAACCTTGTCCTCTTCGCTCAGTGGATTCTCTTGCTCAAGATTGTTGTTCTCCGTTGCCTTCTCCTTGGACCCCTCCACAGCCACGATAATGCTTTTAAAGATTTCGGGTTGTGATGCGGAAGAGCTTGCAAAAGACATAACTTGGTTCTCCATTACAAAATCTCCTTCTTTAGTTTATTTTTCGGATTGTGAAGTGAACCTTATCTGTGTGTGCTTATATACTGAGAAGTGATGACGTTATATAACCTCCAATTATGGTTGGAGATCTCCAGGGTGTAATTTTTTCAATAATCAGAATTTATTTTGAATACAATTACAATTATTTAGGCTAATTAATCAGACTAGAATCTTTCACTGTTATGGAAAGATATTGTTTATTCATCCCTAAATTTATAGGAATATTTTTCTCATTTGCATGTACAAAGGAATTGCAATAAAATATTCATCTGATGCATTTCCCTTTATTTTCATAGCAAATATATTTGTCTATAGTGCGTGCCATGTACGTAATATGTATCATTCCATCCTGAAACTCAGATTTCTTCACGAGTTTTCACAAATTCAACCCGATTACTAATAAATCACTAAGTTAATCAAGCATATATATTTGGATAGCTTGTTTATGTTCTCAGTCTCCTAAAAATGATGAGATGTAAAAAAGAAAGAGGAATGAAAATAGTTCAGATTTATAAGTAAATCAACCAAAACACAGTTACATGTGAATAGAAGAAGAGATACTACAGACAATAGGAACATTTGAAACGAGATACAACGAAATTAAAAAAAAAAAAAAAAAAAAAAAAAGAAGAGAAACAACCTTCAGAGATAGAGATGTGGACGGAAAGAGAGGTATCCAATAGGCACGACGATACCTCAAAAATGAAAATTAGACAATACTCAAAGGGACAAATCAGTGCCCCAGTTTTTAGGGTTCTCTTTTTCTGGCTGATCATCATCATCATCAATCACCACAATCTTGTCATTGCCTATCTTTAAGGTGAGATCCTCCTCGCTCAGACGGTTCTCTTGCGGATACAAACTCCTGCTTCGAGGAGGAAAAGAAGGAGGAACATTCCTAGGGAGTATCGGGGTATATGGGGGTCTGGGCCCACGTCCCCCTGCAGACGGAGAACCATAGGTTAAAGTGTTCCCTGTGAAGAAGCGAGTAGGATTCATGCGAGGAACAACAGTCATGTTCATGGGCCTCCCGTGTCCGCCACTGAATGTTGGGTAAACACCGTGTCCTCTACGTCTGTAAGGTTCAAGAGTGATCCCAAGATGATTATCATTTGATAAAGCATCTTCTGAATACCCACCTAGGAGCAAGTGTGGCTTGTTTATGTAAGGATTCAAAAAGGAGAGTCCCGGGAAGTCTTCCTCCATCTCCTTCCTCTTCTTTTCCCACTCACGATCTTGCTTGTGCGCGTTCTGGTGACCACCTAGGGCTTGAGTGGTTGAGAACCCTTTACTGCAAAACTGACAAGTGTAGATCCTATTAGACTTTGATGGGTAAATCATCGTCATCGATGTACCTGTTCGGACAGCACCAGATCCAGGACTAGGGTTCTCACTAGTCCTTTCAGACATAACCTCCTGAGAAGACCCTACGCTCAGATTGTTGTTGTTTTCCGTTGCCTTCTCCTTGGACTCCTTCACAGCCACGGTACCGTCTTTGCGGTTTTCGGGTTGGGGTGAGGAAGNTTTGATGGGTAAATCATCGTCATCGATGTACCTGTTCGGACAGCACCAGATCCAGGACTAGGGTTCTCACTAGTCCTTTCAGACATAACCTCCTGAGAAGACCCTACGCTCAGATTGTTGTTGTTTTCCGTTGCCTTCTCCTTGGACTCCTTCACAGCCACGGTACCGTCTTTGCGGTTTTCGGGTTGGGGTGAGGAAGAGCTTTCAGAAGACACAGCTTGGTTCTCCATGACAAGATATTTTTTCTTTGTGGATTGAGAAGTGATGTTTATCTTGTTGTGCTGGACTAGGAGAAGTGAAGACGCTATTTATCGAGAAGACAACCGTTAGTGGTCGTTAACAATTATGGTATGGAATCTCCAGTGGGTTGTGACACCCGAAAAAAATCTTCAGAGGGTAAAATTAATTATTTTAAAACTACTTTGAATTCATGTCTCAAAAATTATGGTCGGTTCTTCAACAATGTTGATTTTACTTGTGTAAGACTGTACCAATAAATTTAATTATCGTAATTAACTAGTGTTAATCCATATTTTTGAAATATATATTTGTGGTTGTTTCTCTAATGACTTTTACTCTTGAACCATACTTTTTTTGTCCTCCAAACTAATGTTTTGTGTGAATAATGTATGAAAATAGTTTTTATAACCCGGTATTTACACTCACTGGGATAGTTGTATCTATTCGTGCTTACGTAATATACTATTATCAATCCATTTAGAATTTGTTTCTCTAATCAACATTTTCTTTTTTAAAATGGCTCTGCGATCTAAAATTAAGATGTACCACTATAATTATATAACTATATGTTTTTAAGTCAGATATGATACAGTTACACGTATTTTTAGGTTATATGTTATGAAGGACATCTCAAAATTTTGAAAATTGATATTATTATATTATAGAAAATACATAAACGTAAAAGCAATTATTAAAGTCATTTATATTTTCTATTTTCTAATAAACGCATATTATATTCTGTGTGTGTATATATACTTTTTTGTTTGCCAGGGAATATACTTAAATAAGAATTAATAAGTTAATAAGAATCAAAGTAGCATCTTTCATGTTAAAGAAAATATTTAATCATTCCAAATTCAAAGAAATTGCAATGTATATACGGAAAATCAACTTGGAAATGTTTCATACACAGCTGTCAGCATGTTTCTTATCCTGCTTAAGACCTTGACTAAAGACTACAATTGCTTCTTTGCCATGAGACAAAAACAGTAAAAAAAATGTGAGACTTTTTAATAGCTTTTCCGGTCGTAATCAACTTTTACTTTCTATCCGAGAAGGTTTTGGTCCAAAAATGGATATCCAAAAAGGAAAGAAAATGACAAAATGGTGCATGAATTAGAAAGATAACAGCTGTATTCCTATATATTATATTATTTTGACTTTCAGATATCCAGGAAATGGAAAGCTTGATTACCTTTTACTGTCAATTTTTTTTCTTAAATCAGACTACAAAACTATTGGTAAAAGATATCTAAGACAAAGTCATGTATACTGTATTACTTAATAATATGTTGGTTTGTTTTTATCCATCTTTCACTTAAACAAAACACCATTATGAAATTTATCTTTTCCGGGGAGAACTACAACCTTTGTATTTTTCCCTTTGCTAAATTATATGTCTGTAAATAGTTAAATCAAAGATGATACTCCATTAAAACTTTAAAGATGAACAATTTACTATTAAGCGAAACTACAACACATTTTCATGGATTTCCACACAATTCTTGTTTACGATTTGTTTGCATATTTGGAGAGATAATCTATATGTGAATCGTACCTCCACCAATATTAGTTTGGACATTTTCACAAGTTTGAGATATAGCCTGAGTAAACAAAAGATTAAGAAAATGAACAGTCTAAGTATTGTAAGCTAGCTGCACTTACTCCATACGCATAATGCCCCCCACTTTATTATTGTACAACTTTGTTCATAATTTTGTGTGATACCTACATTGACATTTTTAAAGGCCATGCGTTGTTTACATTTATCTTTAGATGTCGGAACAAAAGATCTTTAGATAATTTTAATTGAGGTATCAATGAATTAATCCATGTTTAGTAACTCATAGAGAAAAAATGCCAAAACCACAAACCTATTTTGTCTCTGTATCTCACGCTATTAAGCCGAACGACTTTCCCGCCAAACCTCATAAAAGAGAGCAAGCAAAACTACAAATCTCTTTATCTATCGGAAACAAAACTTTCATAGTAAATATTTTAAAATTTTATAATAAAACTTACACTCCTAAGGAGGCTACGTAAGCTTCAAAAGAGGAGTTAATACACACAATAAAAAAATAGCTCTTAACAAATAGATAAAATAGGAACTAATATACCAAAAAGTTGATAGAAAATGGCATTTGGATCATATGACGATGATTCTAAGAGGAAGAGGAGGTACGCAGTGATCTCCATATCTTCTGTTCTTCTCGTTTCAATGGTTGTCGCGGTTACCATCGGCGTTAACGTCAACAATCACGATACCGGTAGTAAAGAAGAGATCACAGCTTCCGTTAAAGCCATCAAAGAAGTTTGCGCGCCAACGGATTACAAGAAGACATGTGAAGACACTCTAAGGAAAGATGCAAAAGACACATCAGACCCGTTGGAGCTTGTGAGAGCAGCGTTTAACTTGACCATGAAGCAAATATCTAACGTGGCGAAAAAGTCACAGACTATGATTGACCTACAAAAAGATCCTAGGGCAAAGATGGCTTTGGATCAATGCAAAGAGCTAATGGATTACGCAATAGGTGAGCTTAGTAACTCGTTTGAGGAGTTGGGAAAGTTCGAGTTTCACAAGGTTGATGAAGCGTTGATTAAGCTAAAGGTTTGGCTCAGCGCGACGATAAGCCATGAGCAGACTTGTATCGATGGGTTTAAAGGGACTAAAGGTGACGCGGGTGAGACGATAAAGAAGGCGTTGAAAACCGCGGTGCAGTTAACACATAATGGGCTTGGAATGGTCACCGAGATGTCGAACTACTTGGGACAAATGCAGTTTATGGAGTTGAATAGTCGTCGGTTGCTGTCTCAAGAGCCTTCGTGGATGGATGCTCGTGTCCGTAGGCTCTTGACCGCTCCATTGTCTGAGGTTAAACCAGATATGGTGGTGGCTCAGGACGGGAGTGGTCAGTACAAGACGATCAGCGAGGCATTGCAAAATGTCCCCAAGAACAAGAATGTTACTTTCGTGATTTATATTAAGACCGGAGTCTATAAAGAGTTTGTTCAAGTGAACAGGACCACGCCAGATCTTGTCTTCATCGGTGATGGACCTGATAAAACTGTCATTACCGGCGAGAAAAGTTTCCAGGACGGTATTACCACCTACCGTACAGCCACCGTTGGTAATGCTTCTTATAATATATATCTCGTACATTTCGTGGCTTTAAATCAAATTTTTTTTGTTCAAAAAACAAAAACACCAGAGAGAAAATCTTCAAAATAGCATTCATTAAAAGTGAAATCTAAATTTATATATTTGGATTTAGGGTTTAGTGATTATCTAGGGTTAACATTTAGAATCTAGAATGATTTAGTGTTTGTAACTTTTAATAAATGTTATTTAGGGATTTTTACTATTTTGTGACAAAGTTTTAAAAACATTGTTTACGAGATTTGCACTTATTATTACCAATATATGTATATGACGAATGAGCCTTGCAGCGATCATTGGAGACCGTTTCATTGCCAAGAACATGGGTTTCGAAAACACAGCCGGGGCGGCAAAACATCAAGCCGTTGGGATTAGAGTTCTTTCAGACCAATCCATATTCTACAACTGTAGATTTGATGGCTACCAAGACACACTTTACGCACATTCCCACCGTCAGTTTTACCGGGACTGTACCATCTCAGGCACCATTGATTTTATCTTTGGAGACGCAGCCGCTGTGTTCCAGAACTGTACATTATTAGTGAGGAAGCCACTACCGGACCAAGCATGTCCCATTACCGCCCACGGACGTGAAGATCCAAAAGAATCAACAGGATTCGTGCTCCAAGGGTGTACAATTGCTGGCGAAGCTGATTACTTGGCAGTCAAGGAAACTAGTAAAGCTTATCTTGGAAGGCCATGGAAAGCATATTCAAAAACTATTTTCATGGACACGTTCATACCGGATTTTATTCCGGCTGAAGGATGGGCAGAGTGGGAAGGAAACTTCGGTCTTGACACGCTCTTTTATTCGGAGGCCCGGAACACTGGGCCGGGTGCAGCTGTCACGGGCCGGGTTACTTGGCCAGGAATCAAGAAGTTGAGTGATGAAGAGATTCTTGGATACACTCCAGCTAAGTTCATCCAAGGTGATGAGTGGATTCCGAGTAAAGGTGTTCCGTACACCCCCGGTCTTTTAGCCGGAAACGGTTCAGCAACCGTTGCTGCTTCATCCAATTCAACAACTACCGGTTCAAGCGTACCAGGGTCAACAAATTCTACCGGTAATATAACAGGTTCCAGTTCGAACACGACAGGGTCAGGTCCAGCGGCTGCCCCAGGAGTTTCGGCTGTTNGTGGATTCCGAGTAAAGGTGTTCCGTACACCCCCGGTCTTTTAGCCGGAAACGGTTCAGCAACCGTTGCTGCTTCATCCAATTCAACAACTACCGGTTCAAGCGTACCAGGGTCAACAAATTCTACCGGTAATATAACAGGTTCCAGTTCGAACACGACAGGGTCAGGTCCAGCGGCTGCCCCAGGAGTTTCGGCTGTTACTAATATCAGTGGCTTAGGATCACCTTCAGCTTCTCCCTCAGCTACTCCTTCAACATCACCATCAGCTTCTCCACCGGCTACTCCTTCAGCATCGCCATCAGCTTCTCCACCGGCTACTCCTTCAGCATCGCCATCAGCTTCTCCACCGGCTACTTCTTCAGCTACTCCACCTTCAGCCTCCTCTTCGATCTCACCGTCGGCTTCTACTGCGTCTACCTAGAGGTCGTGCAGTGTCTGTAAATATTTTGACAAACCTTTGAGGATTTTGTAAATGAGTTTTGTAAATTCATGTCAATATCTTCCGGTATATATGCTGTTATTATTTTCCTTTTTTTTTACGTGAAAAAACCTAAAGACTTTCTGAAATTGGTTAAAAAGAAAATATGCCAAAACTAAGCTGGCTGTAAGCAATAAGCATCAAGGGTGTCAAAATGACACTTTGAAAAAAACCGAAAATAGTAGGTTGAAATACGGGGGAAATCTGCGACAAGAT